AGCTCCCTATTGCCCTCCCAATCCTTGCACACAAGTCTGTGATTCTGTTTCCCACAGACCTGCCTCTACCACTGCCTGCACATGGCACACTTCTGCTCTGCAGCTGAGTCTGTGAGGGCCTCCCTTAGTACCTCCATTCCTGCTCTCAACATTTACTACACAAAGCACTCATCTGACATAACATTTGCTGCCTTGACTCATCAACTTCTTTTCTGTGCCCTTAGCTCTCACTTATCTGTCAAATTGACTATGATTTCACTTCTTTGTCCTGCCCCCAGCACCAAGCGCAGCATCTTCTAAGGAGGCATTTAATATTTGCTGGTTGCTCAGAATGAAGTTATTCTATATAGGGGCCACTATTTGGCTCTCAGAAGACTAGCATGGCCATGATCTCCTGGGTCCCTGCTGCTTCTTGGCCAAAAGCTGCTGCCATTACTTCCCCCTTTGAATCACAGATGGTTAGGGCAGGGAAGAGACCTGAGATAGGATCTAGCTCAATCACTGAAATTAGTAAAAGAGAAAACTGAGTTCTAAAAGTACAGAGAGACTCTCTGCAGGTCCCTAGGAGAGGCAGTGGCAGTGGCAGAGCCAGGCCTGGAAATGCAATTGCTCACATTCAGTGGTCATTTCCCCAGACCATTCTATGGCAGTGACCTCCAAGAGCCCTTCACTCTAACTCTTCAAAGAATGTAAACTGGCAAACAAGTTTGGAAATGTCCATTTGATTTCCTGAATGTTCATTTGACAGGCTGGAGAAAATGCATTTGGGATTGCCATTGTGTTTTTCACTCTGTTTAATATAACTGTTGAATATCAAAGGTTCACTGAAAGTAAATGAAAGTAGCTTTTAAGCTTAGCCATTAGGCACTTTAGAATTGTTTTCAAGGCAGCACAGCATAAAGGCCAGAATAAACTGATCATGAATTCTTCCCAGGGATATAAAATTAAAAGCATAATTCAGTGTACATCTTTCCTCCTACGATGAACGAATGCAGACCTGAATGAAGCCAGGGTGTGTGATATGTGCTTATGAACCAGCATGGAAAGGATGCTTTTCACCACTCCAGGAAGAAATATGAAAGTCACTGATGAATAATTATTCTGATAAAGCACTAAGATCCTGTAAGGTTAGGCTGTGATTTAAGTTGACAGCTTTGGTTATAAACACTGGTTCTAAAAAATACCAATTAATGATTCATTTGACTCCTGCTCTGCTCTGATACTGTCCAAATTCTGGCATTTCATGTCATGCCATTGTCTTTTACCACATAAACTTGTTTTATCAAGACAAAGAGAGTAAAAAACACTTTCAAGTGAAAATAATAAAAAGGATCTACTTTACTGTTGCAAACTCTGACAATTTCCTCTTTGCATTAAAAAAGATAATAAGTGTCAAACCAGTTATTACAGCACATGACAGCTTCAGAATAGAGACAGCATATCCAGCTCTACATTATTCAATATGGACACATGGGAAAAGAGCAAACAGTTTTTCTAACAGATTTCTCTGCCTCAATGCCAATATGGCAAATAATCATAAGAAAATGTTATTACTCTACCTAATTTTCCCTTGGAGCTTTTAAATGGAAACTTTGGTTAACTGATTTTTAAAATATGCACAGGGAGGGGTGGGCAGCAACACCGCTATGAAGGGTCCTGCCAACGACATCCAGGCTTAGGTGAAATGACCCCTGGGATGGGAGGGTTCTGAAGACGAGTAATAAGGGCTGAGGACTGGGGATACATGGCAAAGACAGATGTCTTTCCTAAAATGGAAGAGCTCCTGAGATGGCATGAACTGCACTGAGGCAGAAGTTGGAGGAAGGAAAAGAGAAATATTAATGCGTGCTTTCTTTCTCTAATCACTGGGGATGACAGTCAAAATCAGAGGAGAATACAGCCATTCAGAAGTAAAAGGAACAGAAGTAAAATAAAGTCACTGCAAGGTCTCTTCATTAGAGACTGAGATTCATTTCAACTAGCCTATCTTACCTCAGCTGCCATAACAAAATACCACAGAGTGGGTGGCTTAAACAAAATATTTACTTCTCACAGTTCTGGGAGCTGGGAAGTCCAAGATCAAAGCACTAGCCAATTTGGTTCCTGTTGAGAGCCCTCTTCCTGCCTTGCAGAGGGCAGCCTTCTCACTGTGTCCTCAAGTTTCAGGGTGAGGAGTGGAGGGTGCTGATCTCTCTTCTTTTTCTTATAAGGACACTAATTCCACCCTCATGACCTCATCTAAACATAATTACCTCCAAAGGTCCCACTTCCAAATACCATCACATTGGGGGGTATGGCTTCAACATACGAATTTTAGGAAGACACAAACCTTCAGTCCATAACATAACCTTTACCTAGTACCTACCATGTGCTAGATGTAAGTTCTGAATAAAATTGAATAGTCATGCCAGGGGCAGAATCATGCTTATAATAAGATGCTCAGAAGCAAGACTGTATTTTCCTTTACACCTAAAAAAGCTTGTTTAGCAAACAAAGTTATTTTTACCTGATATGGTTTTAAATCCTATGCTTTATATTTATGTCCATACTTTTTAGATAAGACCTACTTTAACTGTTGCCAATTCTCACATTTTACTGATCTACTAAGCAGTATCCAGATTTGCCAATTTTATTTTCTGTCACCCTAATGTTATCATAACTTAATGCTATCAGGGAACACGAAAGAATCAATGCTGATTATAGTTAAGAAAGTGAGGATGAAAGCAATACTAACTGGGGATATTAGGTTTTTTGTAAAGCCTCGACAGGAGGTCCTCTTATCCCAGAGTCATTTAGGAATCATTAACTTGGGGCTTCCCTGGTGGTGCAGTGGTTAAGAATCTGCCTACCAAAAAAAAAAAAAAAAGAATCTGCCTACCAATGCAGGGGACACGGGTTCGAGCCCTGGTCCGGGAAGATCCCACATGCCGCAGAGCAACTAAGCCCATGAGCCACAACTACTAAGCCTGCGCTCTAGAGCTCATGAGCCACAACTACTGAAGCCCATGTGCCTAGAGCCTGTGCTCTGCAACAAGAGAAGCCACCACAATGAGAAGCCCACACACCGCAACGAAGAGTAGATCCCGCTCACCGTAACTAGAGAAAGCCCGCGTGCAGCAACGAAGATCCAACACAGCCAAAAATAAAAAATCATCAACTTGACTCAAACCCAGCAAAAATTCTACAAATACATGGAGTAAAGATATCAGTAATTTTCTGGCAAGGAAGCATGGTTTAGTGGAAAGAGAATCCACTCAAGGTCTTTGGAGTCAAACTGACATGGTTTTGAAATCTAGTCCCACAATTTTTTTTTTTTTTAACAGTGTGACCTCTCTGAGTTTCAATTTCTTCATCTGTAAAAATGAGAATATCCCTGCTGCACAGGAATGCTGTGTGGGATTAAATGAGAGGGAAGTATGTGCAAGTGCTTAAGAGGAAGTAACCATGTGGTCAATATGTTGTTTCCTCTCTGTTCCCGCGAATGCCTTCTACTAGGTAGGGGTCAGAAGTTCAAAAAGTTTACTACCAGTCTCTGCTTGTGTGTGTGTATATGTGTGAGAGAGGGGAGGGGCCGTGTGCAGAGGAAGGTTATAGATTTGTGAGTACTGTGCTTTCATGAGCCTGACCATCTTTAAAATATTTTGTGTTTATTGATTTGACAATCATATTAATTTACCCACATATTTCATCTGACACCTCCATTTTCTGGTCTTTTAGGCATCTCTGGGCATGTGGATGCTTGATAAATAGACTTATTAGCATGATTTGCCTATCTCTATCCTGTCTCCCATTTTTTTAACAGAATTACACAGCTGGCAGTGAGGATGGCACCCAATCTCATCATTCATTTACAACCCTTTCTGCATGACTGAATCTGACTCTGCTTATTCCCATTCTCTGCTTCGAGGACCATCTCTGGTGTCTCTTCACTGAGAGGCAATGTGTACAAGCAGACAAAGCAGAAGAATAAAGGAGGGAAGAAATGTGGGCCCTGAGCTTCTGGATGGGCTCTGACCTATTTCACTCACCTTCAAACTCTGTGTGAATCTATTTCAGCTTCAGCCACTGTAGGGAAAGGCTGAGGAATCTTGATTTCCTTGAAGAAGGGAATGAACAATCGACACACTAAAAATCAGAGGAGACTTTGGAAATTACAAGAGAGGCTGATACTGTTAATGACTAAGTTGCCTTGGTATGTCTTGTGTGCTAAAATTCCATTTCATTTTCATCACACACAGAACCAGAATTATCACTGCAGGAAGCGCTACAAGTTGTGTTCCCTTTGTTCTATCAGAACATCCCAAATAGTATCACATGCTACCTGAAGATGTGCCCCTGAAACAGACCAACAATGCTTCAATTATCTTGGCTGCAGGCAAAGACAAAATAAGAGTCTCAGGAGTTCTCAAAAAGTTCTCTCTAAACTGTGTTGTTTTCAGATGGAAACTACAAGAACATGACCAAAACTATAATAGTAGAGATTTCCCTGGGCTTTGTTCTGGCTATAAGATAGTTTCCAAATATACGATGAAAGGTAATTAGAAGCCGGCAGGGGCCCAATGTGGAACACATCAACATGATCATAGTTCAGACACACAACCCATTCAGTCCCCACCCCACTCCACCCCCAGCTTCTCACACAAGCAGGGTTACCCAAACTCTGGTTAACCTAGTATCAATCTTCCTATTTAAGTTTATCTGATAATTCACAGTGTAATGGGAAAAAATGGAAAGACAGAAAGGAGAAAACATAAAACAAATATTGTCCTTCATGTTGGTAAAAACATAAATTGGTTACATGACAAATGTGAGGCAGTGCTTATGCTGACAGTCCAATGGCAAAGTTATTAAAATCTTTTTTTTTTTTCTAACTTGGTATCTTTATTCTTGATGATTTTGTAATAGGCTTGTCCTTAGTTTGATTAAGCAAACTCTCATTTGGCTATGAGAACTCATTCAAATTTGCTAAAGGAACTATGATGGTAAAATTATACAGCAAGTTGGGAAAAATACCCATGAAATAACACAACTTTTTATAAAACTGTCAGGTTTCAATTCCAGTAACCCATAAGACAGGGCCTAAAGCCTATTCATAATCACATCATTCCAGAATGAGGAGCTATTGCCAGAAACTTTTTATGGGGTGGGAAAAGGAAGAAAGGATGGTCAGTGCTGACAAATACAGGTTTAATGATACAGTGCTCTTCACAGATGGCTACAGAGACTGTAAACTATTACCCAGAAACATACAACCACACAACACAGACCACTTAGCCAGATCTAAAATAAACTGGCTTCTTGTAACTACCCTGTAAACACTACAGCCCTTCTTCCATCCAAAATTGACCCTAATCTCACATGAAAACAGTTATTGTAGGGGAATCAGAAACCCAGCTTTGTGGCCAAAAGTAAAAACCAAAGGAAAAATAGCAATTCAGTGGTTAGCTGGTGAAAGCGGGAGATCTGGTGCCCTTCACTGCGCTGCTTTGCTCTTCTTACTCTGGCTCTTTTTGTCCCTCTTCTCCAGCCCATCCATGTTAGCTCTCAATAGGCTTGAATAAGCCATCTGAAACTCATTCACTTCTTTGGAGCTCACCACAGTGCTGATCTTCTTTTTCCCATCGGTAGCTCTTAACAGACACTTGTTGTCTGAGGGCTCAAAGCCCTCCACAGAACCCTCCCTTGGAATGGGTTTAGTTCGACCACCATACTTCTTCAGGGTGATGAACACGCTACCCGACAACTGGCACTTCTGGAAGAGGCTGGTCAGCTCTGTCAGGAACTGCTCACTCTTCAGCAGCACCATCCTGGTGCTGCTGGCTCCTCTCTGTCAGCACCTATTAAAATCTTTAGAGAAAAAAATCTCATTTCTTCAAAATTTTCCACCATTTTAAAAGCCAAGTCGAGAGCTGAATCACTGCTGTAAAAGGAAACACCCTTTCTGAACCACATCTGTGTGATGGGGCCACTGATGCTGCCATTATTGCTCGATCAACACACCCTGGAACAAGAATTTTCATTTCTGAATCCAAGCCTGTTCAAAATCCTCCTGGGGAAGTAAACTAACACCTGGGCATCTTCTGCAGTATAAAAATTCTCTTCTCTTACGGCAGTAGCCTTATGTTTAGACTCAAAAATGCCTTTTCCCTTGCATCAGCTTCTCTCAGGTGAAAGGAAATAAAGACAGAAAGCAAGGGCCCCTTCAGTAAAATCCCACTGAGAAGGGACAGGCAAAATAGGAAGATTTAATTCTAACATGAGGGGACCCTATGATGATGTGAGAGGGAAAGGAGAGAGAAGAGGAATGGCACCTAATCTAGAAGATTCAAGTACATTCACAGATACTTTCCCAAGATGTGCAAGCATCTAGCCTTCTTTAAGGAGACAACCGTGGCATCATATAACTCAAATTAATTCCTTTCTGAATGAAAGCTGAGTAACAAAAACAGAACTTGGCAAGATGGCACAGCACAGTGAGGGCAGAATTGTATTCCCAGTTGATACTTGGTGAGATGTTAGGTTGTCATCTCAATATAAAATAAAATGAGGCCGCACAACGGAAAGTGTTTTGAAAAGTAAAAATCCAAGGGAAAGATGAAAGCAGCATTTTAATGAATCTGGAAAAAACAAACTCTGTGGGGTGGGCAGCTCTGACTGTGACCTTTCTCCAGTTGACATCCTGGGAAGAGAAGACACATGATGGAGAGAGAGGCCAGTGCCTGCCTCCTTCCCCCACAACGGGAATGGCAGTACCATTTGCCAGCACCTGGAAGCTGAGAGAGAGCCTGATGTGGATTCTGTCCGTCCATTAAAGGCAAGAAGAGTGAAAAGTGGGAGAGAAAGCTCCTAATACCGACAGTGGTGACCTGGGGTCATGCAGTAAGGAGTTATAAAGGCATAAAAGCTGCTTTATTCAGATGGTTCCTTTCAGGGGAACTCATTTCATGATACTTAATGCAGGCAGTTAGAAGAACAGTTGGGTTGGATATAACTTACAGTATGTCACACAAACCTGGAGCGCCCACAGAACATTAATTTCAGGGCACACATTGAGATTATGCACTTACAACCAGCCTCTTTGCCAGGGGCAGCAGCTTGTAACTCAGAAAGTCATGTTTCATTTAGGATGTGCTGTATAGTGTTGAAGGGGAAAGTTAACTGTTTTGTTTTGTTGTGTCTTTTTCCCCAATCTGAGTAAAAAGCCCTTGGGAAAGAGCTACATATGCTAAACTGAAATTTTCTATAAAAGTGTTCTCACTCATTTCAGCACAAATCTGCTTAAGTCATATCTCTTGCACGTCTACTCTTGTTCTAAACACAAGACTTCCCCTGCTACTGAGATCCCCACAAGCAAGCTCACCATTCTGGGATTTGCTTTATCTCATATAGGTTTGGGTATCACTTTCTCCTGAACCTAGAACTATGTTTTCCACCACAGCATGCCAGACACTAACTCATCCCTACTCAAAGGGGCTTTTAGAACACCACTTTCTTGATGTGCTACATATATACAATGGAATACTACTCAGCCATGAAAAAGAATGAAATAATGCCATTTGCAGCAACACGGATGGACCCAGAGATTATCATACTGAGTGAAGTAAGTCAGAAAGAGAAAGACAAATACCATATGATATCACTTATATGTGGAATCTAAAATATGACACAAATGAACTTAGGTATGAAACAGACTCACATAGAGAGTGAATTGCCAAGGGGGAGGAGGGACTGGGGAGGGACAGGGTGGGAGTTTGGGTTTAGCAGATGCAAACTATTATATATAGGATGGATAAACAACAAGGTCCTACTGTATAGCACAGGGAACTATATTCAATATCCTATGATAAACCATAATGGAAAAGAATATGAAAGAGAATATATATATATATGTATGTATATGTGTGTATGTATATATATATACATATAACTGAATCACTTCGCAGTACAGCAGAAATTAACACAACACTGTAAATCACTATACTTGAACAAAATAACTTTTTTTAAAAAAAGACATTCTTAAGAGAATTTTCAAAAAAAAATCCCACCTTCCTCTATGTGGTAGTGAGGTGGTCCTTTTTTTCACCCTTAGCTACTCCTCAGCTCTGGTAATCAGTAACTATTCAACTTAGGTAAGAGAAACCATATTAATTCTTCTAAGTAATGCAAACATCTAATTTTACATGCTCTCAAATTACTTTTCTTTCTACTGCATGTTTGTGTAGCTATTACATGAGTCCGTTGTACTGATGCAGCTGTCATCCCTTCAACTCAGTTCTTGCCAAACACTGAGCTGTGTCTGGAGATACAAAGATAACCACTCTTGTTGAAGAGATGCCAGTTTAGTGGGAGAGCAGACATGTAAACAGATCCGTATGTGAGATACATGGCCTGGAGGGGGAGAAAAAAATATATTGCACAAATAAATCAGCACAACAGCACAAAAAGAACTAGAGGGCCATAATATACCACAAAGATCCAGTGAAATGCAAGGATTGTGAACATGGAGGTAATATTGCATTTCCATCTCAGTCAATCTACATACTCTGCTGCAATGGAAGAAGTAACCTCGTTCCTACCTAAAGCCAACTTTCCACTTGAGTCCCAGGGCCAAGCCCCTCTCTCATATCAGGGACACCGTCCTTTAACGATCCACTCTCCTGCATTATCAAATCCTCCCTTCCTGTGGAGTCATTCCAACGTGCATACAAGCATACCTTAATATCATCCTCCCTTGACCTTGAGCCCTCTGGCCTCTTTGCCATTTCTCTGCCTCCCTTCCCGGTGACACTCCTTTCATCTTCTACATTTATTGCCATCCCTATTACCTCACCCTCCATTCCCTTCTCCCACTGCTCCAACGAATTGACTCTCAGCAAGGTCACCAATAAGGTCCACCTTGCCATTAGTGACTTTTCTGTTCTTATCTGTCTTGCGTAGCATCTACTGCCCACTCTCATCTCCCCTCAGCCCATATTGAAACTGTCTTCTTTAGGCTTCCATGAAAACCCTCTCCTTGTTTTCTTTCTGCCTCACTGCAGCTCCTTTGCAGTTTTCTCTGTCTGCTTCTCCTTGCCTGCCTCATTCCTGTCCCCCCCATAGCCCATTCTCACAGTAGCTAGAGTGGTCTTTCAAAACTATAAACCAAGTTATTTTATTCCCTGACTTAAACCCTCCAATGGCTTCCCATCATTCTTAGCATAAATTCCATGTCACCGAGGCCCAGTAGTTCCTGGCTCCTGCCTACCTCTCTGCCTCATTGCTAGCCATACCTTCTCCCAACACCCTGCACACTATCCACCACCAGATTTCAGACTTACACTGCCTTTTTTCAGTTCCTCAAACACCCAAAGATAGTTCCCACTTCACAGCCTTTACCACTGCTGTTCATTAGCCTAGAGCACTCTTCTCTTAGCTCTCTGCATGGCCAACTGTGATAAGTCAAGTCTCAGCTCAACTGACTTGCTCACGGAGGACTTCCCTGATCTTCCTGCCCAAGTGTCCGTTCCCCAAACTCAGTCACCTGCTAGCTCATCACCCCTTTCCAATTCCTTCCAACACTACACTAAAAAGTGTCATGTTTATTTTTCACATCTCATTTGTCTACCTCTCCTGTGAGAGCCTAAGCTCAACAAGGGCAGGGACTTGGTCTTGTTCAAGCTGTATGTCTAGCTCCAGGCACAGTGTTTAGTACATGATAGGTACTCTGTAAATATTTACTGAATGGAGGAATGAAATGATGATGAAGTCCTTGGTTAGGATATTGTGTCCAGCTCTTTGCTCTTCAACTACAGAAAAGCACAGGAAGGGGAAAGTTGAAACATAATAATAACTAGCATACAGGGAAATCAGACTTATGAAAAAGGTTAACAGAACTAGAATTAATGAGAAAATATTCTACTTTCATTCTTCAGGGGGTCATTACTAGTTTTCTTTAATGTCTAATGAAGATTAAATAAAAAGAAATGGACTACAGGTTCAGCAGACTGGGTTTAAGTTCTAGAGTAGATGAGATATGGGTTAGTTATGGAAACACTTCCTGAAACTGACTACTATTTAGGATTATAGGAACTGCCCTGGTGGCGCAGTGGTTAAGACTCCACGCTCCCAATGCAGGGTTCCCAGGATTTGATCCCTGGTCGGGGAACTAGATCCCACATGCATGCCACAACTAAGGAGCCTGCCTGACGCAACTAAGACCCAGCACAACCAAGTAAATAAAAATAAAATATTTTTTAAAAGATAATTAGTTCCAGAAGAACACTGAAGAGTCTTTTAAAACTAAAAGGGATAATAATAATCCTGTATCAACTGAGTGCCTCCTGTGTGCCAAGAGCAGTGCCCAGACTGTGTTGTAAGTCTGCTCTCCTTTGACACTTGTAGCTGCCCTGTGAGGAGACACAAGCTACTACTGTCCTCCTTTTAGAGATGAGACAACCAAGGCTTAGCAGAGCTAACTAACTTGAAAAGGCCACATAGTTGATAAATGACCAAGGTGGGACCAAACCCAGATCTGTTTGACTATAAAATCTGTGCTCCTGACCACTATGTTTAAAAGGGAGAGTTTAAAGCACTGGACATAGCCCTGCTAAAAACATGAGGATCAGTTTTCTTAAAATGTTCACCCAAGTCTAGGATTTTAAGGTATTTTCAGGAATAATATAAAGAACATGCTATAAAGAACAACTTAAAACAGCGCTATAATGCAGATTCCATCTTAGAGCTTTTGGTTACACAGACGTTTGATGAACTGGACAAAATAATGTGCTTTTGGTTAGCCATTATATAAATTCTCTTGTGTCATCTTGAAGGATTACTTTATTTATAGTCTGAAGAGCTGTCTTAGAAATATGAGAAAAGAAAAACAAGTTTACAAGTATCACTGGGTATGACAAAATAATTCCTTGTTCCTCTAAAGTTATGAACAGAGGTCAGCAGATTATGGCCTGCTTATGGCCTGCGAGCTAAGAATGAATTTCACATCTTTTAAAAGAGTTGTTTAAAGGAAAAAAAGGAGGAGAACATGTCACAGAGACTGTGTGGCCCATAAAGCCTAAAACAGTTACTTTTTGGTCCTTTAGCAAAATGTTTGCTGACCCTTGTTCTAGAGCCTAAAAATGTATGCACAAGTATGGAATAGTTGTAATAGAGAATAATATACCTGCTAAGAAAAATCAACTCCCTAAAGGTTTTAGAAAGTATCTTTGGAGGGTTTGTTTGTTCGTTTCTTTTACCAAAGACAACAAAACTTCCCAGAGTCAGATCATAAAGTGGGTCTGGCCTCTCAACCTAGATCCGTTAGATGATATAAGGGGGCCTAAGAAGGAGAGGAGAGTACTGAAGAGCTTGGGGAAAAATGAGAATGATCCAATCTCAGAGCTGAACAGGGCCTTATAGATACTAGGAGCCAACACCTTCATTCTGTAAATGAAGAAGCCCCCCGGGGCGGGGGTGGGGCAGTGGCTTCTTCAGGCCACGAGGACATGCACACACAGCACAGTGATTCATTCCGGCCCCCAAGGCTGGGGCTATGTTCTCTGTGCCATGTGGCCTTTACTTTACTATAGAGACATGCTTTTGCAAATCGAGGAGCAGGAGACAGCTTTTTAAAAGGTCAGACAAGAACCAGCAGATCTGCAAAGAACATGTGATCTGAAGGTGAAGTCCCAATCCCTCTTATAAAAACTGTTTAATTTCTTTTTTTCTAATTTTAAAAATAGTACACGTTGATTATAGAACACAAAAAAAATTTAAAGAAAAGAATAATCATTCATAATCCTATTTGATGATAAACACTTTTAACATTTGGTGTATTTCCTTATAGCTTTTTAAAAAATCCATATACACATACATCATTTTAAAAATTAGAATATTGTTATTTTAGTACCTTTCTTTCCACTTAACTAGGTACAAGTCAACTTGTGAGCATTTTTGTGTCATATAAAATTCTCCTAAAACAGTTTTAATGGTTGTACAATTCCATAGTATGTATGTATCATTCTTGCTGTAACTAATTAATCCTTCCACAACCAACATGTATGAGAGACTATTTTATGTCACCCTCATCAACACGACCATGAACATAATTCAAAATATTTTCCCATTTAATAAACACAAATGATTTCTCTTTGCTTCACAATGAGGTTGATCTTTTTTTTTCACATGGCCATTTATTTATTTGCCTTCTTTTGTGAATCATCTTTTTTTTTTTTTTTTTTTTTTTTTTTGCGGAATGCGGGCCTCTCACCGTTGTGGCCTCTCCTGTTGCGGAGCACAGGCTCCGGACACGCAGGCTCAGCGGCCATGGCTCACGGGCCCAGCCACTCCGCGGCATGTGGGATCCTCCCGGACCGGGTCACGAACCCGTGTCCCCTGCATCAGCAGGCGGACTCTCAACCACTGCGTCACCAAGGAAGCCCCCATGAATCATCTATTCTTAATGTCACATGTCCTATCCCCACTTTTCTTCTGGGGTGCTCGTCTGTTTCTTTT